CGTGGATTCGTCCAGCGCGCCTCGCTCAACAGTGTCATGAGGTCGGTGTTTGGGCGACGCATCGGCGATGGTGAGGAGGAGGTCCAGGCGATGGTCCGCGAAGGGTTTGAGCTTCTGGGCGCTTTCAATTGGTCCGACCATCTCCCATTCTTGAGGCAGTGGGATCCCCAGGGCGTGGTGAAGCGCTGCCAGCAGCTGGTTCCTCGCGTGAACGCTTTTGTAAGGAAGATTATCCAGGAGCGCCGGGCAGAGATGGCGGCGGCGGAGGAGGAGAATTCTTCCAGCTCCAAAGCTGCCGGAGGTGGAGAGGACTTCGTCCACGTCTTGCTCTCGCTCCAAGGCGAGGACAAGCTCGAGGAGTCGGACATGATCGCGGTGCTCTGGGTACGTAACTTCTTCTCTGGTTTTTTTTCTAGCATTGCATTTGTTGGATCTTTTCTCGCTTGTCTTCATGGCTTTCGCGTTCTTTCCTTCATGCGTCTGTGCTTACTCGTTCCCGAGCTTGGCTTTAAAGTTTTTTCTCGTTTCACTTCCTTTGTTTGATTGTGGGTTGAGCAACGCTCTTTAGCTGGTGAACCAAATTGATGTACCGCAACCCAGGACATCCCAGAGTGTTTTTTAAACGTTTTTTTTACTTTCGGTTCGCTTTTGTTTGCGGGTGTGTATACGGCGCTGTTTGCTGGTCGTTTCTTTGTGGCTCGCTTGCTCTAAAGAAGCCAAGGGCCGTAATGGTCACGCTGGGCGGGGCCATAGCCATCCATCTCGCCTTGTAAATTGGGCGTTGGCTTTGCTCTCAACAGCCAGCACCGATTCGGCTTCGTCCTGCGTGTGGACGGTGGTCGATGAATTTCTGCGTACAAAGCTTGTTTGTCGTTTCGTCCTTGGAGCCACTTTGTTTTGACCAACCAGTCCTCTCCTTACATCAAAACTCAGGCTTTTCTTCGCTCTCTCCCGATTTTTTTTTTCTCTTTCTCCATCCTGGCCTTCGCCTGCACTGTTGAAGCTTGCATTCCATGTGTGCTTCATGTTTTGTGTTTGAGCCGGTCCTTGCTGGCTGTAGTCTTTTACGCACATTGTTTAGTGAGCAAATCTGCTTTGCTTGACTGACTAAGCGGCTGTTGTCCAGTGCTGTTTGTTTTCATCAATCGCCACCCAACGCAGTTATATTCAAGTCACTGACTGACAGGAGCTTCTTTTGTTTGTGTACGCAGGAGATGATTTTCCGAGGCACTGACACCACTGCGATCCTCACAGAGTGGGCTCTGGCGGAGCTGGTTCTCAACCCGGACGTGCAGCGCAAGCTCCAGTCGGAGATCGACTCGGTGTGCCCGGCCGGCCAGCCGGTCCGCGACTCGGACACCGAGCGCATGCCTTACCTCCAGGCCGTGATCAACGAGACTCTCCGCCTCCACCCGCCGGGTCCGCTGCTCTCCTGGGCCCGTCTGGCGACGCATGACGTGGAGATCTCGGGCTACCACGTCCCGGCGGGCACCAGCGCCATGGTCAACATGTGGGCGATCACGCACGACCCCAGCATCTGGCCCAACCCGGAGGCTTTCGACCCGGAGCGGTTCGTGGAGAACAAGAGCTTCGACGTCCGGGGCATCGACTTGAGGCTGGCGCCGTTTGGAGCCGGGCGGCGGGTATGTCCCGGCCGGGCACTGGGACTCGCGACCGTGAAGCTGTGGATCGCCAGGCTTGTCCAGGAGTTCTCGTGGATGCCTTGCGAGGACAGCCCCGTGGACCTGTCGGAGGTGCTCAAGCTCTCATGCGAGATGGTCAATCCTCTGAAAGCCAGGCCAGTTTCGAGGAGGCCTGCTGCTACTCACTAAGTGGTGGTAACTTTGGCAACTATGACTACTACTCTTATCGCTACCACTACTACCACTACTACTTTACCGCTCTACTACTACCACTACCGCTACTATCACTACTACTGCTACCAAGTAAGAGTTTTTCTTTCAAGTTTTTACGGGCTCTTCTTCAGTTCTCTGCTACGGGCTGCGCTTTCGTCTCCGAGTTTGACATTCCAGTCTGGCTTTCGGGTTCTGAGATCTTTCGAAGAGGCACAAAGCGAGAGATTCAGGGGCAGCAGCAGCAGGACCCGAGGAAACGGAAACCCTGAGGCCAATTTTGCAGAGTAGGATCATCACACAGGATCATCACACACAGACACAACACTAAAACCAAACAAAGGAAGAAGAGTGAGAAGAGAGGCTGAACTCCTGCGACTTTCGGAATTTTTCTTTTTTTTTTTTCTTTTTTTTTCTTGTTGTGCTTTGGATTTGTGCTTGTTGTTGTTAGTTCTTTCAGTTGCTTGTTGTTCCTTCCCAGCTATGTACTTCGCTTCTCGCCTATAATTTATTCTAATCTTAATGTATCCAGTTGTCTGTCCTTTGTCGCTTCGTTTTGTATAAACTTGTCAATCCGACTGGGCTAAGTACGCTGGCTTAAGTAACTAATCAGCGATGAAGCGGGAGAGAGTGAGGGCCGGCTTAAAGGTTATTTGTCTAGTGTTCTTCAAGTCCCAGCTATCCAAGGAAGAATCTGGCAGGAGAGCTAGAAGTCTCTTTCTCTTGTTCTGTTTCTTTTTTGTTTTTTTTGTAGGCCACCGACTTTACAAAGTTTAACATTTCATATCCAAACCAAGAAAAAAAGCTCTCTCTCTCTCTCTCTCGCTCTCTCTCTCTCTCCCCTACGTGAATGACTTCTTAACAACAGGGCCATGCCATGCCACTGCCCGCCTCTGCTATAGCGGCGGTTGGTCTTACACCCCCTTCTCTAACTTCACCTCTGCAACTTGCCAAGTGTTTATAATAACTGGAGTTTTGTTGTTTCTTGTAGGAGAGAGTGCAGCTGCAAAGCCGAGCCAGAGTTACAGAAGCTCTTCCAGCTCTCTGAACCACATATATATAAACAAAGTCTCCCGGGAATAATTCCGGAACACAAAGAAGCCGAAGCTTGCATGCATTATAAATACCCAAGAAAGATCCTCAAAATGCACTAGAAACAAAGCCTGGACTGATGTCAAGGAAGGGGGGCGGGGTTTGCCTTGCAGATCTACATGTGTGAGATATCTACGTCTAACTTGAGTTCCTGGCAAAAAACAAGGCCAGGGATAGTCTTTCACGAGGCCATGACAGGTTGAGGAGCTGCATGCAGGTGCAGGTGCAGGTGCAGGTGCAAGATGCAGATGCAGCTGCTGCGGCTGCTATAGCTCTGCACCATTCCATCAAAGGCCCTCATCTCAAAGAACAAAAAGATTACAACTAAAAATTGGGTTACAAGAATCTAACACTGTAGAAAGTAAAACATTTTTTTTGAAATCAGATGACGGCAAACAAAGATGAAAAAGAAAAAAAATCAACTGCAGCAACGGCAGACGGGGGAATGAAGTAGAAGTGGACACCACCACCTTCAAAGTGCAGAAGCAGGAGCAGGGGGGGGGGGGGGAGCGATGGGGATGAATTCTGATTCAACTTCATGTCAATCCTGTAGGTTTTTCAGGCGTACTCCTTTTTTTCCTATTTTTTTGTTTTTGTTTTTGCAGGGGCATCTATCTCACTTTGATGAGACGAGCCCCACCAGCCGGACCGGCTCGGTTGGTGTTCACGTGTTCATGTTAGATTTGGATGGATCAGGATTCATCTATCTCAAATAGTTATCGCATTCTCCCTTTCCTTATTCAAATGTTGTTGCGAGCGTGCAGCCAACTTCGGAACGGGAAAGCAGTTCTGAAGCGAGAGGAATTAAAACTGTTAGCTTGCTATCGCTCCAAAAAGCAGCTGCATACTTCAATTTGCATCAACCCGAGCATGCGCGCAAACAAAAAACAAAGAAGACAAGATTTTGCCCCTTTATAACTGGTTTAAGCCGAGCTTGTGGCTCGAAGTCGGCCTGGTTTGTTGAGTTGCGTCGATTCAGATTCCTGCGCATTTTTTTTTAATTACATGTGCATGAAAGAAAAGGTGGTGGGTTGTGCCTGGATTCGGCTCGACAGGCAGCTTTAAAATGGGATCATCTCGCAACCTCACAAACAAGCAAGCACACGTGAAGGCGGAATGGCGTTTGCATTTGCCTCACGAATGCCTTGCTGGGCTTCTAAAGGCTGCTCTATCTCTCTCATCTCCCATGCAGGTACACGCCCCATCCACACGTAGAGGATTGAGATGATATCTATATTGCTGCCTAGAAACAGAAAAAATCTGCCTGTGAGCTACTGAATCTGCTGCCGCAAGCACAGCTGCTGCTACTTCTGCTTTTGTTGATAATCCACTCAAGCATGGACTGGACTTGGACTCGAATGTCCAGAAGTGGACTCTTCAGGAATGTGGACCCAAAATATATGTGGGAGAAAACGTGTAGGGCCTCCTATCTCCTGCTTTTCTTCCATTGAATGTCAACAATACAAGCCAATTTTGCTCCATATCGTCCCCACAACACAACCTGCCATGTCTTGTCTGCTCGCTTTCTAACACCAGCAAGAACAAGAGCACAGCACCAGCAGAGCAGCTCCAGTAGGGTCAACCGATCAAAGGTCAAAACTTGGTTTTGGCATGGATTTTGTTAGGAAGGAAGAGTCAACCAAAAGTCAAACGTTTGGATTCTAGCATCAGGTACACCAGAATAGAGGATTTGTATCTTGCAAGAACGTACATATATATTTTTAATAGTTTGTCATATGAGGTGAGGCAAATGCTCCTCTCAAATTATGGGCTTTGGCCAGGAAGAACATTGTAAGAGCAACTGGTCAAAGGTCAAACTTTTTTGGAGAGCAAGAGTCAACGTTCAAGATTAAGTATACACATCTTTTGTAGGGTTCCAAAATAGAGAACAAAGAGCACCCTCCTATATTTGGCAATGTCACACACATCTTTATTTAATAGTTTGTTGCATTTGGATTCAACTTGTGGATTTTCATGACCAGCAAAAAAAAGTTGTAAGACTATAAGGGGGAAACTACGAGTTTTTCTTTGCTGTGAACCAGTGAGGCAAGCCAATGGTGATCTGTGATGATACTATCACACAAACACGATTGTCATTTAAAGAGCAGGAACATACAAACAAAACAAAAAGAAAACTCCCCTGTCCGCTAGCTATTACCTCACATCACCGAGCACGCGTTCGGGTTCTCGTCGCTCAGAAAGTCTGGAGCGTCGATCCACACCAACGGCTTCATCTGGATGTCCCTCAGGATAGCCTCTTTGGTCGCGGCCTCGGAAGTGGCCAGCGAAGTTGGAGCTGAGTTCGATCGAGCTGGAGATGGAGCTGGAGCTGGAGCTGGAGCTGGAGCTGGAGTTTGTGCTGCTGTTTCTCCCGCGGCTGCTGCTGCCGCTGGCGGCGATGATTCTTTTGGCTTGTTTGGTTCGGCTGGAGCGCTGGCCGGTTGTAGCACCTCGTTCATTTTCCCGGTTCTTGCTAGCTTGAGCAGCACTTTTTTGATATCCACGTCGCCTTTGATTGTCACCTTCTGTTCCTTAAGGTCCACCTTGAGCTCTTGAATGCCTGAAAAAGGGCTCCAAACCGTGAGGAAGAAAAACCAGGAGGAGGGAAAAAGAAAGAAGAAACTTACCAGGGATTTTTGAGAGCGCCTTCTTCACCTTCTTACGGCATCCTTCGCAGTGCATACGGACCTTGATAACGACTGTCTGTGGCTGTGGATAAAATGCCGAGGATCAGAATGGAGAGCTGTGAATATAAGTCGACAAGATTCATGTACCTCAGGCATTGCTCGCCACTCCTTTCCCTTTGGTGGTACCAGGGGAACTTGAAATGACAGAAGAAGATCGATCAATCGATATGAACAACAAGAAGTAAGAGGCAGTGGACCCAAACAAGCCGCTGCTTTATATATGATATTTGCACGAGATAGAATGAGGAAAGGACCTTGCGAACGGGGATCTCGGGCGAGAAAACGTAAGCAGACGCTCGCAAGCAAAGCTAAAACAGACAACGGGAAATCGGAAAGCTCTGGAGGAACTTACACTGGCGAGCCACTTACCACTGTGAGGGAAAGAGACCTCTTACAGCGACTGCTACAGCAATCGGCTTCAAACAACGGCTACTTGCGCCTTCTTTATGCTTTCTCCTGATTGCTTGTCGTCATCTAAAACAACAACAACAGAGATCCCCACCCCTCCAGCAAGATAAGGGAAGTACCAGGTGTAGCCGGCCTCAGCTCAACACGTAGGATCTGGAAGAAAACAAAGATGAAATCACATCCAAAGAAGAAAAAAAGAAGCAGAGGAACAAACCTGATTTTAATATGATCTTCCAGTTCTCTAGTGCGTGAGTGTAGCTCGAGAGATGTTTTCTCCTTATAAACAAGAGCGTTAGGCAAAGAACTAAACGGACGAAGGAAAAGAAGCAAGATCAAACCGGAAGAATCGCCCAGCTCCAGCGAAAGAGTATCATAATCAGCGCAGGCACATGTGTGGTGTAAGTGTCGTCCACCCTCGCTCGCCAAAAAGAAGAAAGAAATCAAAGTTAGCGTACGTTGGTCTGCATGAAGCACAGAACCAGAGATACGTGTTGTGTTGTTTCTATCGCCACAGCGCAGTGCCATTTTTCTTCTTTCTCGGGCGAATCAAAAGTGTCGACACCAGAAGGAGAAACCGTAGCGCAACTTGCTCTCAGTCAAAGCCAATCCCTGGAAAGAAAAGACGAACACAGCTCTTTTCAGGGCGAGCTAGAATTTCCAGCGGTTTTTCAACCAGGGGAAAGGAATCACGGCAATGCAGCTCACATACCGCTGAGATCGGCGTCGCGGGAGCTCTCCTCGCATCGTCCTATCATCAGCGGGAGATGATCCAGCAGCGGCGACGCCGTGCCAAATTGCCCAAGTTGCCAAGAACCCTAAAATGTGGTTTATTTAGGGTTCTTACTCGCCTTGGCGCCAAAGGTGAGATCCTCTTTTCGCGGATGCATCATCGCGCGCACTAGGAATGATTGCTCGTATGGACCCATCCGGTGTGATTTTTCCAGGGGCTCCCGTCCTAGCCCTAACTGTCAGTGGCGTCTTTATCCTCGGATGGTCTCATGGAATTCGTGCTTCTTTTTGGAGTCTCCTCCTCGTTGTTTATTTGAGCGTTTCTCCTGTTCATGGCCTGGAAGCTCTTCGTCTTCTTCCTTCTCTTCCATGTTTTTTGCGTCTTCGTCGTGGTTTTGGCTGCCAGCCCTCCCGAGAATGTGACGATTGGGGCGCTGCTGGCGCTCCGGACCAGGATCGGGCGAGCTGCCAGGGTCGCAATTCAGCTGGCCGTGAAAGAGATCAACGAGGATCAAACTCTTCTCAATGGCACACGTCTTCTCGTCCAAATCTCCGACGACAATTGCAACGCTGTTCAAGGAGCTGCCGCAGGTAACTCTCTCTTTTCGTCCATAGATCGATGATCGTCCGTCGCTCGATCAAAGTTTTGATTTTCTTGGTTTCTTTCTTCTTCGCAAGGTTTGATTTTTCTTGTTCTTCGCAGCTGTGGAACTTATGCAGAGGAATCGAGTCGTGGCGATCGCCGGGCCGCAAACTTCCGAGGTAGCGCATTTCGTAGCACACATGGGAACTGTGACCAAGATCCCCATTGTCTCCTTCTCCGCGACCGATCCCACCCTCTCGGAGTCGCAGTATCCTTTCTTCATCCGGAACACTCACAGCGACCGCATCCAAATGGAGGCCATCGCCGACTTTGTCAAGCTCTTCGAGTGGAAGGAGGTGGTGGCGCTCTACTCGGACGATAACTTTGGCACCAACGGGATCATGGAGCTCCACGACGAGCTCAGCAAAGTTGGTGCCACCATTCCCTTCCGGGCCGCCGTGAGCCGGAGTATGAGCAAGGATGATATAGGTGAGATCCTGGCGAAGTTTGGCGATGCCGGTGGAAGGATCTTCGTGGTTCACACCGACGCCAGCGTCGGCCGCGCGGTGCTCACCGAGGCTTACGATCTCCGGATGCTCACGACCGGGTTCGTGTGGATCGTCACGGAGACTCTCTCGAGCGTCTTGGACGGGGTTTACAGCGACGACGAGTTTGTAGCGGCTGCTCAAGGCATCGTCGGCACTCGGAGCTTCATACCCGGCTCTCCGCAGCTGGAGAGGTTCAAGAGCAGCTGGAGGAGTTTCACCATCAACAGGACGCGCGGGGGATATCGAAGCTCCAACGTCAACCTCTATGGCCTCTACGCTTACGACACCATATGGATGATCGCGTACGCCATCGACGGGTTCTTAGCTGCCAACGGGAGCTTTGAGTACGAGGCCATGAAGTGTCCTCCGGGTGGCGAGCGACGCTTGGACTTGGCGAGGCTCTCAGTTGCAAAGTTTGGAGCTAGAGTGCTGCGGGAGATTGTGAAGACGAAGTTCTCGGGGATCAGTGGAAAGGTGGAGCTCAGTGCTGGAGGCGAGCTCCAGGGATCCGACTTGGAGGTGGTGAATATGTACGGGAGGGGACTTCGCACTGTTGGCTACTGGAACAAGGGGACTGGTTTCTCGGTGGATGCTCCTTCTGAGGATCGTCCACAGATGGAATCGGTGAGCCGGCTGCAAAAGAGACTTCACCACATAGTCTGGCCTGGGGACAACTTGCATGTTCCTCGGGGCTTGATGATCCCCAAGACTGGCCGAGAATTGATTATAGGAGTTCCACTCAAGCAGGGATACAAGGAGTTTGTCGACTTGACGATTGATGTGAGCAACGTAAGCACGTTTCATGGCTTCTGCATCGACGTCTTCAAAGCGGCATTGTCTAGCCTCCCGTACACCGTCACGTACTCGTTTGTGGGATTTGGAGATGGAAACTCAACGCCGAGCTACGATGAACTTGTCGAGAAGGTGGCCAACAAGGTACTCCGTTTCTCTGGAAATTCTTTTCTTATCATTTGTGTGTGTGTGCGCAGAAGTTTGATGCGGCTGTTGGCGACATCACAATAACAAGAAAGCGTGCAAAGCTGGTGGATTTTACGCAGCCTTACACGATTTCGGGGCTGGTGTTGGTTGTGCCAGTCACAGAGACTCATGCTCACCAAGCCTGGGCTTTCTTACAGCCGTTTTCAAACTCAATGTGGTACACAACAGCGGCCTTTTTCTTCTTTACAGGGACAGTCGTTTGGATCCTGGAACGCGATAAAAACCGTGATTTTGGTGGACGTCCCAGAAAGCAGGTTGTGACGACTTTCTGGTAATACATGCATAATTCCAATTTTGAATCAGTCACCCTCGTCTTGTGCATTTTCAGGTTTATTTTTTCAACTCTTTTCTTCTCACAGCGTAAGTTTCGTAAAAAGTTTCTGCAATACTTTCTTCTCTTCTTTGCACGCAGGGGAAAGAATCAATAGTATTCTCGGGCGCATTGTGGTGATCATCTGGCTGTTTGTGGTCCTGATACTCATCTCCAGCTATACGGCAAGCTTGACGTCGATTCTCACAGTTCGCAGGCTGAGACCGACCATTCAAGGTCTCTCTCATCTGGTCGGAAGTGATGTAAGAATCGGGTACCAGGAAGGGTCTTTTGTAAAAGACTATTTGCTCCAGCTCAACGTGGAGAGTGATAGATTGGTGCCACTCAAGTCGATCGCCACTTATTCTTCGGCTCTCTCTTCGAATGAAGTAGGAGCTGTTGTTGACGAACTCCCATACGTACAATTGTTACTATCATCAGACTGCAGGTTTGCAATCTCAGGTGAAGAAGAATTTTCAAAGAGTGGCTGGGGATTTGTAAGTTACAAAGTTCCATTATTGTTTTTTAGGATGGTTTCTAATTTAATTTTCTCTGCGTGATCAGGCATTTCCAAAGGGATCAGCATTGGCTGCTGATGTGTCAACGGCAGTTCTCACGCTCGCTGAAACAGGGGAGCTGCAGCGCATTCACGAGACATGGCTTCACACGACTCGCTGCAGCGGGAAAGTGGTCGAGGTCAAGTTTGACAAACTTGACTTGCGAGCTTTCTCTGGTCTCTTCGGGTTCTTTGCGGTGGTGGTGGTGGTGGCAACGCTTATCCACGCTCTTCGTAGCTATTGCCAGAACTACAGGACAGCACTGCTTGCGGCAGCTCCTTTTCAATGGCCTTCACATTTCTCTAGAGGTTCGCGTTTTGTTCGATCTTTCAGGTCTTACGTCTGGCAAACAGGGAAAAACGTTAGCGTTGCCTGAGGGGGGAATAGTCAGAAACCTGTGATAGGTTCTTCAACTTCTCCAGCAGCAGATGAACCAACTTCCCTGCGAGAACCACAATTCTAAGAGATCCAGCAAGCAACAGCGAACAGAACTTACCTTCGGCTTTCCGCTATCTGAGATTTCCCGGCACTGGCTTCCGCTTCGAAAAAATCTTTGCACGACGTTACTCTCCTCTCCGTGGCTGGTGGGAGATGGTTTAGGCTGGAAGTTGATATAGTCGTCAGAGCAACTGGTGTCAGACTTAACAAACAAGAATGCGGACGATACAGGTGAAGACGTGAACTTGGAGTCATCCTTGTTGCAGACGACCTCCTCCACGTTGCTCCTGGCATCAGATTGAAAGTTAGAGTCTTGGGGATCCTGTTGCTCTTCAGCGTCCTTCGTGAAGTCCAAGTCGAGGTATCTGCCGGACCTGTTTCCCAGTTCTATACTGAACTCGCTGCTGGTGCGACTATTTTTGCTGCTGCTTCTGCTGGAAATCTCGTTGTTGGAGCTGCTAAAGAAGCCACCGAAGTTGAACTGCTTCTCAGGTTTGCTGGTGTATGCCAGGGACTGGCTTCTAACATGCTGGGTGGTATTTTGCGGCAGGAACAAATGAGGCGCATAAGAAAAGCTCTTGGCCAGGCTATTGCTCAACCTCTGGAAACCTCTCGACTGCAGCTTTTCGTCGCGATTGTCATGGACGTCAAGCCGACCGGGCAATTGGTGCTCGCAACCGAAACCATCAAACTTCAGCTCCAGAAGATCGTAGAGAGTCTTCTCTGGAGGTGAGGCAGGGACTGCTTGCGACATTGAAAAGCTGAATTCGTTGCTGGCAGTGAGGAGAGCATCCATGGACGTCATAGCAGAAGGGAACGACGCTGGAAATGGAGCGAGTTCGTTGAAATCTGTAGCTTTAGACGCAGATGGTGTGGATGCGGAGGAAGAACTTGCTGCTGTCTCGAGAACCGTGGTTGGCGATAAATCGTCAGCTCCTTCCAGTTCTTCGTCTTGGTGATCATGGATCCCGTCGTCTGGCGAGAAAGGCAAAGTGGATCTAGCACTGGATGATTTGTCGGGAGACGGAGCTTACCTGGAACAGTTAGACTCCTCACAAAGCCAGCAAAAGTTGTGCTGTCTTTGAACGAGAACGGTGGAAAGGCACAAGGTAAGCGCTCTTCATCTTCGTCTTCTTTGGCTGGGAGTGATTGATTCCCTTCCACAGGCACAGGCATGGCGGAGAAAGAACGTAAAGCTCCTTGATTATCATCGCCACCATGGTAGAACTGCTTGCGGACTTTCTTGGTAAGGATCATCTCCTGTGTTGAGATAACACCATAATGCTCAGGACTTTCTGTGATCTGTGTCCAGTGGAGCGGCGAGCTTTGATCCAGATTCAACGAGCTGCAGCAGTCCTCAAACTCCGTGTCGGAGATCTCGACTTGGTGCTCGTGAGATTTCCTGCAAGGCACTGCATCTAGAACACTCGACATGGTGATGATAGAAGCGCTTGAGGTAAGCTCTTTCTTTCTCTTCCTTGGTGCTATGAGGATTTTGATCTTCCTTGCAGCCAATCGTCCTCATCGTCCTGTAGCATCCAGCACAAAAAAGAACCATTTTCGGCTTCGTTGGTACTTGACGAACGAGACATGGGGGATGAATGAAGCTTTTTGGTGTTTAGTGTGTTGCGAGCCACGACCAAGACGAAGATGAATACACGATTTTTCGTGCCACTAGATTATAGTTCTTTCAAAAAGGAGGACCTTTGTATACTTTTTACGAGACAATGAAACTATCACAATGATTTGAACCTAGAAAAATTGTATTTGTTTGATCCAAGGAAAAAAGGAACAACTTTGTATACTATCACAATGATCTCAATCTCTCGACAAAGGTGGCCATGTCTCTATTCGAGCTTCCACCCTCTACCACTGCCGCTACCGCGAGATCCCGGAGTTCACGGACAGCCCCTCTCATCTCTCCTCCATCCTCTATCGCCTTCCTCACCACCGCCCTCACTCTCTCCCTGTGCACCACCTCCATCCTCCTGGAGCTACAAGCAACGCGAGCTCCAATCCCTTTACTTTCCACTGGCAGCCGCAAATTCAAGTTTTGATCCGAGTGGCAGGGCCACCCGAGCATCGGCACTCCACTCCACACGCTCTCCACGATCGAGTTCCAGCCGCAGTGCGTCAAGAACGCTCCTATGGACGCGTGCGAGAGCACCCTCTTCTGAGGCGTCCACGGGACGATGATCGACCTCTTCTCCGCCACCATCCTGTCCCTAAATCCCTGGAAAAACTCCATGGTCGGAAGATCTCCCTGCGGTAAGAACGCTGGTCGGATCACCCAGAGGAATGAAATGCCGCTGCTCTCTACTCCCAGTGCCAGCTCCATGAACTGCTCTTGCGTGAGGACCGCCAGGCTTCCAAAAGAGATGTAGAGGACCGATCCTTCCGGCCGGGAGTCTAGCCACTCGAGGCAGCCCAGCTCCTCCTCCTCCAGGCTCACCACCTGTTCCAGCCCCTCTTGATCCAGCGGCAAGAGAGGCCCGATCGCCAGGAAGTTTTGCTCTCCCAGTAGCTGCTTCATGGCCTGTGTTTCTCTCGGCTCCAGTGCCTCGAAAGTGTTGGCGATGAACCACTTGTCGTTGTTGAAACGTTGAGACTTTGCGACCAGGCTCCACACTGGCACTTTGGAGAATTCCTGAAGGTAGTATGGAAGATCCAAGGCTGGAAAGGGATCCATCCCCGGAATAAAAGAAATCATCTTTTCACCTCTCAAGCTGCAACCTTTGAAAGAAATCTGGTAAGAAAACGCTGGCTAGAAAAGTTTCTAGTTTCTTACCTTGTGTAGTAGAATCGTCGTCCACACAAGGCGATGAACTTGCTTCTACGAAAGATTGGTTACTGCGAGTAAGAAAAGAAAAACTCATACCTGGTACTGGAATGTATTCCAAGTCAACAAGCAGTGGTACGTGACGATCGATCAAAGCCCAAGCTGCAGATCCAGACCAGAAGCACACCTGAGGAACTCCCAGCTTTTGTGCCACCGGAGTCGTCCAGACCGCATGAAAGTCGGAGATGATACATTTGATCTCCAGCCCCTGCTCGCCTATAAGTCTGGACACCAGCAGCTCTTCCAAGGGAACTCGGAGCTCAAACAAAGCCTTCTGCAGCTCTTGTCGTTGGCTCAAAGCTTGAGCGTCGAGCCTGGTCGGAATGGACGATGTGAACGGAATGGACTCGAGCCGGATGTCGAGCTGCGGCGAGCATTTCCATCTCGCAGCGATCTTCCTGTGGACGCTCTCGACGTTGACGATCACGATGGAGAATCCTTCTGCGGCTAGTTTCCTGGAGAGGTGAATAAGCGCTGGAGTGTGTCCCTGAGCCGGCAATGGAACTACTACCACGACGGAAGAACCCGAGCTGGAGCTGGAAGAATCGGTGGCCATGGCGGAAACTAAAAGTATATTGCCTATCTGCTGCTTCTCTAGTGTGCTGATGTTACTTGGCTGGCAGAAGACGACACCGCCAACTTACGTCGCCTTTCGAAGTGGACATAAGAGTGGTCCGGGAAAAGTTGGCGTGGAGATTCTTCCGGGTGTCAAGCCAACTTCGCTGAGGCGGTAGCCGTTTGGAAAGAAGCAGGCTTGTAACTGTGATACTTTAGTGGCAGGAGACTGTCCGGGTCGTCCATTCCTGGATTCTCACTTGAATCTGGAACTATCTTGGCAGTCGAGAAGGAGAGTTGTCTCGGAGGCATGAGCATCGATATTGAGCTCCGGAACACCAACTTGAGACGACCAGTGTGATGACGAAGTTTTGCTTCCGATAGCCAAAAGCTTCTTGGAGCCGGTCGTCCAAGAAACCCTTCTTCCCAGAGGTTTTAGAACGGATGGAAAAGTAGACAATACCAGTTCTACCGTGGCACAATTTCCCTGTTGGTTTTTGCAAAGACCATGTTTTTACGCTCGTAATCGCCCTTGAAGTCGGAGAGCTCCTGCAGTGTGCTGGGGATGCCTTTGATCCTCATGCCGGTGCCAATATCGTGCCATAATGTGTAAGTTGCGAGCTTCTCGGCGTCAGTCCAGTCTCTAAAGCAAAATCTAAAAACGAAGAACGTGAGCATGGGTTTTGCCGAAGAGGAAAAGATTGAAGACAAAAAAGAAACTTCCAAAAAGAGGAAAAAGCAACAAGGAAGAGAACTCTCACCTGGAGGCCCACTTAGCAGGCTGTAGAACGAAGAGGGCGAGAGCGTAAAGACGGCCTGTAGCGACCATACACGAAGTTCACCCTTCCAATGGCATAAGATCCACGGTGACTGTCGACATGGAGAATCAGTTCCTGGAACACTATGCCCGTCTCCTCCGCTCGCTTGGCAGTGGCACCAGTAAGCTGTCCTGTGCGAACGAGAATGCTGGAGATGGAAGGGATCACATACCGTACGAAAGATCGCGAACTCGAGAGCGTTGTTGGTTAGAAATGGAAATTCCACGAAGGCAGTGAGCGCGTACAGAGTGTAGGCCTGTTGGATTGGATCTAAGCTTTTCAAGAACCTGGACCTCTTGCTGCGCAGTGACGAGCACATTAGTTTCCACAGGATGAGCAAAGTTACCAGCACTGGAATGATAACCATCTCGCTGCTGCGGACTCGAAACATCTCAACGCTCTCATATCAATTGCGCAACAAAAATGGATTAAAGAAACCAAGACAAAAAAGAGAAAGCTATTACATCCTTTCCTCGCGTTTCCGAGGCGCGCACTTTATAATCTCGTCAACACGCAAGATCATCTCGGCAGCCTCGGTTGCGGATAATATCACCGCCTGTTTCACCTTAAAAGCTTCGTAAATTCCAAGCTGCTCCATGTCACCAACCTGCATGGCCAGCGCTTGTCAACAACCCCCCTCAACTCTAGCTACAGAACAAACTCAATTCTAGTAAGAAAACACTTACCCCTCCAGTTAGCACGTCAATGCCGGACATGCAATCCTCTTTGGAGTGTTCCGCTCTCAAGCGTGAAACCAAGTCGGCACTGTCTAGTCCAGCGTTGTCCGCGATGATGGCCGGGATTGCTCGGAGAGCAGCAGCAAAAGATTCTACAGCCAGTGATTTTTTCCCCGGGGTCTTCCTGGCAAGCTCGTCAACATGCTTTGCCATCAAAAGCTCCGGCCATCCTCCTCCCCAAACGACCCTGCTGTCTTGAACGGTTTGACACAGCACGCATAGTGCATCATGCAAAGACCTTTCAGCTTCGTCCAAGACATGAGTGCTACAAAAAAGTAAAACCAAAAAGTTAGCATTCACAAAGAACAAAGAGGCAATGCATACCTTGCACCCCGGAGAACTATTGTGCACGCTTCTCCCATTTCTACGCCGGAGAAACGAATAAGTCGATCTTCTCCGATCATGATTTCTTCAATGAGATCGCAGTGTCCCAGCTTAACAGACTCGGGATTGTCAAATGTCGATGTAATCTCGCCGCCTGTAACCAGCGCCAACCTCTCGATTCCCTCAAAGTCGGCGTGTTCGATAGCCATTATGCCAGCATCCGCAAACAGCTCCTCCGGGAAATTATAAATCAGCTGCCGGTTAACGAAGCAGTTGATTCCATGAGCCAGTATCTTTTGTACTTTCTGCTTCATCTTGTCCTTTTCAGCAGCCTCGATCTCCGCGATCTTCGACATGGCATCGACTCGGACGCGTGCGCCATATATCTTTACTTTGTCCGTGTCCATTGCCGTGTTGGCAACAAGAATCTTGGCGTTCTGTATCGATTTTGGCTGGCCAACACCGATCTTCTTGTCAAGAATAAATCTAGCGAAACAAATTGTCAGAAAGGAGAACGCAACAGAGACACTTGTTTACCCTTCGTCCAAAAACGAGTCTTGTAAGGAACCGCCTGCCTTCTTGATTATCTGAATGGCTTCTAGATTCCCGCTTCCCTTTTATCAGAGGCCTGATTAGTTGATGCATTTAAACAAAGAATTACCTTTAATCGCATCACGGCATTCACAGCAAGATTGGCAAAATGTTCTTTCTCCTGAGAAAGAATTTTTGAACTTAGAGTTGTCATAGCAATATTGATAAGATCTTGTCGAAACTTTTCTGCAATGGACAAACACAAGACTGAGCTCTAAAAATTGAAGCAGTGCCAACAGACCTGGATCAGCTCTGTTGTCCCGGGTCCTCTTCTCTAAAACACTACGAGCACATTCAACGGCCATCCTGTAGCCTGCAAAAACCGTCCGTCAATCAATCCGCTGGAAGCCACACAGATGCTCACCATCGATGATTGTCATCGGATGAATCTTCAAGTTCACAAGCTTCTCTGCTTCACGCAGAAGCTCCCCGCACAAGACCACCACCGAAGTTGTTCCATCTCCAACTTCGTCGTCTTGGACTTTGGAAATGTCTGTGGATCAAACAAACGATCAAGTGAGAAAACATAAAAACACAAAACTTCACTCTCTTCTTCACATTACCAACAAGGACTTTGGCAGCTGGATTGTCGATGTGCAGCGACTTTAAGATCGTCGCACCATCGTTTGTCACAGACACAGAGTGTCCCCGGCTAGTAGATTGCAAGATCTTGTCCTAGTTTCAGGAAAAAAACGAAAGCATTAAACTCCGCAGCTACTGAAAACTAGCATTCTCACTTACCATTCCTTTCGGACCCAATGTGGTCTTGAGAAGATCCACAATGGCCAAAGCGCCAATGAAGGACGCCTAAACACAAAGAAATCTCAGGTAAACATCTAAGAACCGCAGTAACAGTACCATTCTGGCGCGCTCGCCCTTCTCCTCCACAGCGTCATCCTTGAAGAGCTTATCGGCCTGCCAGAAAAACGCTCAGGAAACGCGATACATGATCACAACGCTCACCATCGCTGTCGCAAGAACTGGAGTGTAAACCCTAACCCTAACTGGGGTTCTTGAGCGGGAATATGCCTCCAAAACAATTTGTATAATCGCTTTAAACACTCTACTTTTTTTAGAGTAAAAAGTTAACTTTACTCCACGACAAGTAAGTTGTTCACAGTAAGGCCTTCGCCAATAGTGGCTAGCTGAGGAGAAACTTGCCACACTCCATCGACCACGAATTTAATCTGGTAACTGCAAGAAAAAAACCAATCGAAATCAAAAGAACTTCTAAGAAAAATCTGATCCTTAGCTACGAATTTAATCTCGTAACTGCAACAATCCAAAATCAAAAGAACTCCTCTATCCTAGCTAGAAAAAATTTGAAAAATCCACTCGAAAGAACGAAACCTTAGCTAAGAATCGAGAGAGAGATCTGAAACTTACTGGCCGGGCCTCAACTTGAGAAGGCCTGAGAACTTTGCGTATGTTCCAGTGTGTTCTGGAGATAGACTCTCGCCTTCGGTCCAGCCATCGAAGGATCCCATCACTCGCACGTCCTGAGACAATAGAGAAAAATCGATAAGTGGATAGATTCGCTCGGCTAGAGTTCCTCAATGCAGTACTTTAGTACCTCTGCCACTCCATACCATTCTAGTGTAACGTCTCTCAAGCTCACGGAATCCACGTCTCTGATTTGTGATGTCAAGCGACTGTGCATATCTGAGAAAAAAAGGGAAGCGCTTTTTTTCTGAAAAAGTTATCGAGAATTTACCTTCGAGCCTGTGAGCAAGGTGTGACTGGATATATCTGCCATTGATTTTGCGAGATCCAAGCTTTCCTCCCTCCCTTGCAACCTCTTGGGCCAAGTTGACAAGAACCTGTAATGTACAAAGGTATCAAGGATGAAAAAGAAGGAAATGGTGGATTTTTTCTTTCTTACACCAAGTTCTAGCTCCATCGTCGCCAGTTCCGCTTTGCACTTGAGCAGCGTATCATTCGACTCGTGGACCTGTCAAAACATTAGCATAAATCCACCAAAGTGAGAAGAAAAATGCACACCGTTCTTTGCAGGCTACGATTGTATTGATTCACCTCGCTAAGTTTCCTCAAGAGCTTTTGCCTCATGTAATTCGTTCTTATGGCATGCAACTTAAGAATGAGAAGAAAAAACCTGTTAGACGAAGGAAGGAGAAGAAAAAGGATGGCAGTACCTCGGCGCGATCCGACGGGACCGAGGAAATGTCAGTGCTGCTGGAAGACGCTCCATTCTGTGCAAAGTCAATTTGCTCGAAGTCGTTGTCTTGATCCTCCCGCTCTGGAGGCTCTTCGACATACGTGCTTTGCACCACGGACGTTTCCGTGAGACGAACGGAGAGAGCTAGAAACCTACACGCCGGACTGTGCTGAAAGCTCTGCCGTGTCGCAGGGAACGCCACCACGGAGCACGACTTTGGAATGCATCGCCCATTGCAAACTTGGAACTTTTGCCTCTTCGATCTTACGCTTGCTTCGCAACATTTCGTTTGGAGGCAAGAAAGCCTGTGAGTTGCTTCCAGAGAAGCCAACTTTGAGAAAAGATGGAGAAAGTAAAAAAAATAGAAGAAGCAGCAGCCACATACCTTCCAGTGACACCAGCTAAAGGAGCTACGTCCATTTATTCTTCCAAAGAGCTGGCATTACAAACAAGAGAAGCATAAGAAAGAACTCCAAGGAAATCAAGGCAGGACAATCAAGAACAAGTGATTTCTAGAGCAAAGGAAAGAGACAACGAAGCATTGCCAGCCATGGATCCATCGGGAGCAACGCATTTAGGTCAGAAAGCTTAGGGAATGGCGCAAGCGCTTACCTGGAGCTATGGCATTCGATCGAGCGCCGCGGCGCCACGCTCTTGGCGACGATCTAGAGAAGCGCCTTCCAATCTGCCGCGCCTGGAGACGAGTGAAAGAGAACTCTCTCAATCCTCCCTTCTTTTCCAGTGCTGGAATATCCGACCCCACAACAAACAAGCCGCGCATATTCTATTGGAATCAATTCAAATATTTGAATTTGTGAAAGGGATGCGGGTCTTGCGAAGAACCACTTGTTGTTGTGAAGAACTTTGGCACCGCGTCGTGTGACTGGGAGTGGGAAAAAAAAAAAAGAAACATTCGCGAGGTCTGAAAGGAAGAAGAAGAAAAGTCATTTTTACACGAGAAAATCTAGAAAAAATCGCTTCAAACGACTTACACAATACGTAAAGGCCGACGACAAAGCCAAGCGTTCCTGTGCCTGACGAGGACTTTCAACGCGTCTCGTAGCGCAACGATCGGATCAAACGAGAGGCGACGATTCTTAAGCTCGATGCTTGCACAGTTCTTCCCCAGCTTCATCTCTCACGCAGCGATGCGCAGCGGCGATTTCGACGACGATGGCGATGATAGCTCTTCTTACTTCCGGCTGCCACAGATGCTTAAGTTTAGCGAGAGCGAATTCCTGGCGCTTACCGGGAATTTTAGCACTAGCAACATCCTGGACAGGGGGAGCTTCAGCACCGTGTACAAGGGCGTCTTTCCTGACGGAAACGTTGTGGCTGTCAAGAAGCTGGAGCTTGGAAGACGAGAGCTACGTCCCGTGAGACACAAGAGCTTCTTCACGGAGTTGCATGTCCTGGGACGCATCAGGCACAGGAACATCTTGCCAGTTCTCGGCTACTTCTCGAATCTCGACTTCATGGCGGTCATTGTCCAGTTTATGCCCAAGGGAAGCCTCCAGAGCAAGCTGCAGCAGAGGCACACTTACATTAGTCTCGACTGGAGCAAGAGGTACAAGATAGCCGTAGGAGTTGCGCAAGGTCTCACTTACTTGCATCACAACTGCAAGCAGCAGTTCGTCCACTGCGACTTGAATCCCAGCAACATTCTGCTCGATGACGAGTTTGAGGCACACATCGGAAACTTTGGCTTCGCCAAAACTGTCGAGCAGCAGTTGCGGCAGAAGAAGAGAATCACCAGTTTCCTGCTCACGCCAGGCTACACTGCTCCAGGTAAAACGTAAAGTTTTTAGAGCGTTACGTACCGAAAACGGCATTTGTTACCTTTGCTGCAGAGGTTTTCTTAGGCGAGAAACCGTCGCCAGAAGCAGATGTTTACAGCTTTGGAATCGTGATGCTGCAGCTTCTAACCAGAAAGTCTCCAACGAGCGCTGAGTTCGGTGATGGCCTGACTTTGCGAGACTGGACGAAAGAAGCTCTCGATAGCGGTCGCTGGACTGATGTTCTGGATCCACAGCTGCAGCAGGAACTGCTCTGTCAGGAACAAATGCTTTCTGTAATGGAGATGGCCATGTCCTGCTGCGATGAACTACCAGAAGCGAGGCCCACCATGCAAACCGTAACGCGATTTCTTGTAGGCCTTCAAGACAGCAACAGTCTTGCAAGGTTTCAGAAGTCGATTGACGCACTCATTACGGACAGTACGCCTTCTTGGGGGACCAGGAAGCAAAAAAACTCGTCTTTCGGCACGAACTCTTTCACAGCCTCGTTCACCTGCGAGTCAAGAAGTTAGTATGTTACTGGAGTATTTAGCAAAGAGTACCTTGGCTAATCGATGGCTACTCCCACAATCCATGCTTCCACGCTCAAGTCAACTTCAAACTCACACGCAAAATATATATCAGCAGGAAAAAAAAAACCGAGTTAAAATAAAAATAAAAATGGTGTTATATTGCGAAAGAAATGTGTTATTTTAAACAAGTTTATCGTATACTTACAGCTTGCTTTTGGTATTAGAACCGACTCGTGATCTCTTCTCCACCACTCTCGACAACGAACGAATGGTTTCTTTTGGAAAGTGTGGAGGTCTGTGAAACCAGGCTCCACCATCCACAGGAATAATCGCTCCATTTACATACTTGCCTGGTTAAAATGAAAGAGTTAACAAATGCCATCGCAAAACCAACATACCAGCACTTGACGCTAGGAAAATGGCAGTCATGGCAATGTCCCATTTCTCTCCCCAAGGAGGACTGTCTCGAATGTTTATCTCGTCAGGAGCAAGCTTAGACATTCCTGGAGTGTCTTTGATCGGTCCTGGAGCAATAGCATTCACTCGAATGTTATAATCTTTTCCCCATTCAAGGGCCAAGTTTCTTGTCATGCTGTCAATCGCTGCCTGGATTGAGAAACGAAAATGCAAACTCTTTTAGACGGTATATTAGATCGAGCTCTTACCTTTGCTGAAACTAGATGAGTCTGGAACCACGCCGCGGAGAATTGGAGAGTGGCTGTTATGTTGATTATGAGACCACCTTCACCGGATTTCTTTCCTGGCGCGCCGCTCTTCAAGTAATGCATGGCATGGTGGCTCATGTTGTACGTACCAACAGTATCAATCTCAAGAACTGCATTTTTTTTCTCAGTGTTAGAACTGATGAAACAAAAGAAAAGAAAAAGAAAGAAAAGAAAGAAGAATCGTCTACCTGTTCTAAATGCGTTGACAGAGAGATCCTCGGCAAGGCAGAGAAAATTTCCCGCAGCTCCATTCACCAGAATATCAAGCTTCCCGAATTTCGCTACTGTCGAATCGAGCGCCCTCTTTGCGTCTTCTTCCTTGCGGACGTCCCCCTCGATTGCCAATGCCTGGGATAATCCAGCTCAAAACTCATTGATCCCTTTGAAAATTACCTGGATGGATTGCGAGGATAGCTTCTCCACAGCCTCATCGAGCACCGATTTCCGGCGTCCTATGATGGCGATCTTCGCTCCATGCTTGCCAAAATGCGTGGCAATCTCAAACCCTATCCCAGATCCTCCGCCAGTGATGAGCGCTACCTTGCCCTGGAGCGCCTCGCTGTTAAACGGAGACTCCATAGCTCACAAAGAACACCTAGAAGAGCATACTTTTACTGTTTGTTTTTATTCTTCCTCTAAAATTTTCGTTGCCCTAAGCCTACCTAGCAGGGATTTTGCTCTTTGCGATGGATGCCGATGACGCTCCCTCGAATGCGGTGGATCAAGCCATAGCTGCCGCGGATTTCGCCCAGGTAAGCGATCGCATTGAATCGCGCCATGGTAATTGAGCTCCAGTAATGGATTTTCATACTTCCAGACGATCCAGCGAGATTTAAACTGCCTCTCCGACCCGGATCGAAACACCAGGCGAAAGGCATTGGAGCGCCTTGACAAGCTTCTTGTTACCGAGTCTCGTTCTCCAGCTATGCTCCAGGTATTTTTTCTTTCCTCTTTTTATCTCCCAAGCAAAAAAAATTTTGTTGATGTTTTAGATTGTTTGGGACGAGACGATACTGAAGCTGGTCGTAAGAAACCTTCACGACCCCGTGGAGAGGTGTCGAGAAGCTGCCGTGAACATGATTTCTAGAGTTGTGAAGCTTTTAGCAGACGTATGTTTCTTAGATTCCAATACTTTTGTACTAAAGTTTTTGATCCAGGTGGAGCAAACAACATTTTTGATAGTTCCTGCAATAGCTGAGCGGACTGGTAATCACGTCCTGTGATGATTTTTCCCTTTTTTTTTAATCTGGAAAACTTTGTGGCAGGGCAGCTTCCAGTGCTTGAACATTCCGAAGAGATACGTCTAAGTTTAATCAACTTGCTCAATGCTATAATTTGTCAGTGCTCAGTGGAGAGCGTTCGTGAGTTCTCTGAGCACATAACAAGGGTCAGCGTTAGTGTTCTTTCTCTTTTGTGTTGTAATTGGCTGCGTTTGCAGGTAATCTGCGTGACGTTATCGGATTCTTTTCACGAAATTAAAAAAGCTTCTTGTGCGCTGCTGTCTAGACTATGCAGTCGTGCACCTGATGTTATAGGCGAGAATGCAGATGTTATACTGCACGCGCTACTTCCGAATATTTTGCACGCTCACTCACGGGTTTGTAGAGATGTCTGCAAAAGAAAGTTTAACTGATATGTTTTGCACAGGTGCGATCTGCGGTTGTATCCGCACTCAATGACGTTGTTTCATGCGGTTTGCCGGCTGGTATGATTGCCCAACACGTTGCTCCGGGCGTCAAAGCGGTTGCATTTGATCATTCCGATACAGTGAGAAAGGTAAATAAGCCAATTTTTTTCTCTCTCTCGGAGGTTTAGATCCTTTGTACGCAGGTCTTTTTTGAGTATGTTGCTCTATGGCTTGGGTATGAGCCAGATGAAACATGCCCAATCACTGAAACAAAGAATCAGACGGCCTATATGCCGTTGCTCTTGCCGTTGCTTCTACTTGGAATTGGAGATGACTCACCAGAGATTTCTACCTCGACTTTGGCAATGGTTTATCGTGTAGGTGAAGTTTACAAGCACTGGAATGCTCATGATTCGGTGCAAGAGAAGGTAACGTTTGTTGTGTCATTCATGTAATAACGTTGAACTTACAGACCTGGAGGCATGATTGTAATGTTCTTCCACTACCTTTCGAAACAGAGCCTGGCTATGGCTCACGCTTAATGATACAGGTTTATCAGTTTTGTGCTGTCATAAGTTGTTTCTTACCATCAACTTACTGTGTATATTAGCGACACCTCAAGCAAATAGTTTACGACTGTTCGAAGGATTTTCGTGATTGGGCAGTTACTACGCGCTTGGGTGCTGCTCGACTTTTGCAAACTACTCTGGTAACGATTTTCTCTTTTTCTTGTGATTATTCCTTACCATGTTTCTTTTCTAACAGGTGTTCGCAGAAAGTCATTCCTCTCGACACCTGGATGTTCTCATTCCTTCCCTCTGCAGGTTCTTATTTTGGAGTTTAACTTTTGAAAAGCTAGTATTTGCATTCAGTGCTGTTGCAGATGACGATGTTCGAGTAGCACAACACGTAGTAAAATCCTCGCAAATATTGGGGTTTAACAATGCTCCGGAGCATTGGTTGGATCTTATCATGGATTCGATAGTCAGCGATCGGTCTACAGCTTTGCAAGTACGGCTACTGTTTATATGAAACACTTGAGTGCATGCTTGGAAACTGCAGAGAGCAAATGGATTAGTCGTATTCGCTGGCTTGCTTTATGGTACGCCGAACGAGAATGTTCATGAAGGCCTGGTTATTCAGGTATTATGCAATTGCCTCGTGTAGGACAACTTAACCGTTCCGTTTTGCAGATTTTGCAAGGGCTATGTCAAGCTAATTTGTCTTTTGATGAAAGCCTAGCAGTACGACGACAGGTTCTTGATTCGAATTATTTTTTCCTTGGTTTCACTCTCTTACGCTGTTCTTGTAGCTTTTGGCTGTTTTAACCAATGTTGTCGTAAAAGCGGGCCCGATATCCAGAGTCTCTTCGAAAGAGATGTTGATTTTATTGTTACAGGTTTGTTTGAAGAATGTTGTTCTTTGCTGACTTGATTATTAATGCAGCTTCAATGTATTCAAGATGATGCCAGACTACGTCAGGATGCTGCTTCTTTGATAGAAACCTTTGCTCATGTCACTGGCTACGAGTCATTGGAGCAGCTGTATGCTTGTCACACAAGGGACCTGATTGATCGAGCAATCCTTCGACACGAGGAATGGCTAGGAAACTCGCCAGGACGACATCTTTTTGAAGCCGTATTGAAGAATTTTGGCCATTTAGTACTGTGATCAAACCATGTGAACGAACTTGTGCTTACTTTACTGTCTGCAGGCCGGCTCATATCTAGCGGAGATACTTCCAATTATTGCGAGCTGTCTAAAACCCCAAAGAGATCCTTCTCTGCGTCTTTCTCTTTTGCATGTAAGTATTGAAGTTTGTATGTAACTTGCTGATACTTCCATGGCTTTAGCTTTTGGACGACTTATTTGAAACTTCTGGCCTTGAATCTTGGTGGAGCTCCTTAGCAAAGGAAGTCATTGTCAGTGTTTTGATTCCATGCGGCATATGGCAAGCAGGAAAGGTTGGACATTCGGGAACGGATTTCAGATGATTAAAGCGCTTGTTACAGGTTGGAGCTGCAGTCAGACATGCGGCTATGGTTGCAGTTGGGACGTATTTAAGACGCGGTCTTTGTACTCAGGTAAGTGCTTCCTTTAACATATGACTTTGATGTTTACATTCGTCTTTCAGAAAGATCTGAATGACATCCTGGAAACGGGGGAAACGTTGCCTGTTGTCATATCCTGTCTGGAGGAAGATTTCTACGTTGATACGCGACGAGTTACTTGTCATGTCATGGAGAACATCATTCGCATTGCCGGAAACAGTTTAAAAGGTAGCTTTTCAAATGTAGGCCTTGCTTCTTACGATCGTCCGTGCTTTCCTACAGATGACTACCGAGTTAAGATCGGAGCAGTTCTCCAAAAGCGACTTGACGATAGCAATGATGGCGTCCGTCTTGGGATATTAAGATCGTTGTCCCTCTTTCTGAGCACGCTTCCTCCGGCATACCCTGGCACAGAGGTGGGATAAAATCGAATTTTGTTCCATGATACTTACCTCTGAACGCTGCAGCTCAAGAGCTGTCTAAGCAGTCTCGTCCTACACATGGACGACCAGAACCAGCAAATCAAGGTACTATCAAGCAATAATTTGCAGTCATTTAGCCTAAGCAACTTCTCTCCACAGGAGTCGGTTTGCAAAGCTGTCGAGGTTTGCGCAGTAAAACGCCCCGCTTTGGTCGTGGAAATTGTCACGGAAGTCCGGTCCAAGCACCAGAGCAGCCAGTACTGTGACTATCTTCTCACGGTGGCGGGATCCGTCCAAACAGCGGATTCTGTAGAATCCGCTGCATGATCAAAGTGAGACGAGGAGCGCTTCAACCACCGGTGATCCAAAGATACATTGATTTTGACGTTGTAAGTTCCTCTGGATTTTTTCTTCTTTTTTTCCTTACTAAGCTGGACTGGATCTTTCTCTGTGAGATCTTTTAGAAACCGGCAATAAAAGCCAGGAAAGAGACTCGTCTGGACACACATCCTCGATTTCCTGGCCCGCGCGGTACATGCTCTCTCAGGTAGGCCAGAATGACGCATCACTCGGCTTAAGACTTACGTCTTTTTGCGTGGTGGTGGTTTTTGCTTTCGCGTTGCTTGGCCAGGGTTATGATTGGTGTGGTTTTGGATAGGCGCTGTGCTACTGCTATCGCTCGATGGCTAGAATCGCGAGATTTCCAATGCCCACACCGGAAAGAAAAGTTTTCCAGTCGTCTTCTCGCGAGATCTTCCTTTGGGACAGCTCCTCTATCCCAGTCTGTGAAGGCAAGGAAAGGACGTTAAAACCATGCATCTGCCAAGGGAATGGAAGAATCTTCTTCCATCTCGCGTTTGTCCGGTAGCGAGCGAGTATCGAACCCCTCTTCGCTTTTTCTGACCAATTAGCGAATTAGAAATTTGGCGCCATTTTCTGGTCTTGCCCTAAGGGGGTTTTTGTTCGCGAGCTGCGTGGGGACCCGCGAGCGATGGCGCTGGCGCTTGCCGCGAGGATTTCGTGGCGCCAACGGCTTGGCTTCCAGGTTTGTCCATGCAATTCTCCTTATGATATTCTGAGTGGCGAGGATCGATCAATCCAGTTGGCTTAGAAGAATCTTGCGAGCTACAGCCTAAACAATGTGGCAATGTTTCGATAAGCAAAGGTTTCTTTTTCTTTGTCTTCTCTTTCTTATGATTTTTTGCTCTTTCCTTTTCTTCTTTTTTTCTAGACACGTCCATTAACCGGCTTGAAAGTTCACAAGATCGCGTGGACACCTCCAAAGACAACGTGATCGGCCATCCCTTTCCTCTACATGGCGATACAAAAAGATATGAACAGAAGATGGCTTTTTACGTAACATAAAGTCAGAGGGGTCGGTTGAGCTTGCACTGGCTGAAAAGGACGCGGGCAGACTCCAGAAGTCTTGCACAGGCCAAAACGCTATGCTCGAGCGAGTAGTTTAAGCTGCTCAAAAGATGGTAGAGGCTTCCTATCTGTGTAATTGACCAGTGCAAGATGAAAGACTGTGCAGGGCAGGCAGGGAACAGTGTCTACGTGCTCTTGCAGTGTCAAAGCTGCAAAAGATTGACACTAAGACTAATTTTTCGATCAGGTTTGCGACATTTTCCTCTGATGGTTTTACTGACTTTTGTATGCGAGGCAACAAAATGGCAGGAAGAAAATGGCGACGGTATTTTTTCAGCGTTCCAGAACAGTCGGGGGTAGAAAGGTGGAAAGAAAAGCTTAATGCGGCAAAACAAAGGTCAAGATAGAGGCCCACAACACCACATTATCAACAGGTTCTGCCTCCTTTGCCTTTTCTTTACATTTTCCTCACCAGTACCTTTCTTGCAGAGAAAGTCTAGACGGGTTTAACAAAAGACTTGCGGTACATATTCTGACCGACTCTATTAAGGGGTGGGAGCAAGTCCCCGGTAAGCTTAACAAATCGTACCTCTGGAAGTCAAGATTATGTTTCACTTTGCTGACCACAGACGCTTAAAACATGCCGCTCATGACATGATTCTATCCTTTCCTGGCATTTTATACTTGAATCTCAAGCCTTTTTCTAGCTTTTCATTTGCATTGTTTTTTTTTGTATTCTTGGACAACTGTTCCTTCTTAATGGGCCCCTGTACCTCGATTTCATATTCATACATAGAATCCAGCTATGCTTCGCTGCTCTTACTGGACTCCTCCCTATTCATTCTTGAGCTTCGTTTCTCTCGCTACTTCTTGTGCCAGAAGATGCCGAAGGTTCCGTTGTCTTAAAGCACTTTGTTGGCTTCAAGTTTATGCGGCTCGTTGAAGGCTCTTCAGAAAACTTGTAAGTGATTTTAGTGCGCTATCTCAGCTGATATCGATAGTTTTTCTTGTAGGTTCTTCCATTTCAGATCCATGAAACAAGACTGATGCAAGGCACTAGGGAGAGAAACTTTAGAAATTTTCGGGGCCTGGTCAGTGTCGGTAGCAATTCATGGCGAATGCACTCCATTTGAAGATGTCATTGACGGGATTTTGTGCAGAATTCCATGGCAATGCAAGAGAATTGCTGTGCGTGAGCATCTCAAAAGCGCTTCCAGGAATTCAGGCTGAACAGGAAGCTCATTGCTGAAGAGTAATGAAACCAAACCTGAGAGAGATATGGAGGGTGCTTCTGGTGATGATTTCGAAGATCAGTCGGACCTGCAAGCATCTAAGAAAAGATACCATCGTCACACCGTCCAGCAAACACGGCAGCTGGAGATGTGGGTACATGAGCTTGAATTCTCGTCATTTACGGGTTTTTCCCACAGGTTCTTTAAGGAGTGTCCTCATCCCGATGAGAAACAAAGGCAAGAACTCGGCAGAGAGCTCGGACTTGAACCACGCCAGGTCAAGTTTTGGTTTCAGAATCGACGTACTCAGATGAAGGTGTTTGCCTTGCCATCAGGTGCTTTTTTTCTTGTTCAGAAGATGATCCATGATTGCAGGCTCATCACGAACGGGCAGACAATTCCATTTTAAGAGCTGAGAATGAGAACTTGCGAACTGAGAACATCGCATTGCGAGAGGCCCTGAAGGACGCGAGCTGTCCCAAATGTGGAGGGCAGCTTACGCCAGGAGAGATGTCTTTCACCGAGCAGCAGCTCCGGATTGAAAATGCTCGTCTGAGAGATGAGGTGAGCAATGTTATCCTGCCTGGTCGAAACGCTGAATTTCGTGTCTTTGATGCAGCTGAATAGAGTGTCGGCTTTGGTAGCGAAGTACATAACTCGATCGGCCATCCCGTTGAACATTCTCCCAGATTTTCCCTTCGATATCACTGCAACTGGAACGTCGGACTCCGTCGCGGTTCCATCCATTCTAGAAGTGGCTAGTCGACCGGGCGGCGTGACGGAATCCGAGAAACCAGTTATCGCAGAGCTTGCAATAGTTGCGATGGAAGAGCTGCTGCTGGTTGCAGCTGAAACAGACGGTGCACTGTGGAGTAGTGTGGATGGAACAAAAGAAGTTTTGAGTCAGGAGGAGTATTTCAGACAATTTCCAAGAGGTCTGGGGCCAAGGCTGATGGGAATGGAAACAGAAGCATCAAGAGAGACTGGTCTGGTCATGATGAATGCAGCGGGGCTGATTGATACCATCATGAACGTTGTGAGTACTTCCGAGTGTGTCTTTTTCGCAGTTTTTTAACCATTCCAAGGTTCTGCAGGGCAGATGGGTCGACATGTTTTCGAACATAGTGTCAAGAGCTTTTACTACGCAAGTTCTCACCACTGGCGTCGGCGGCAATTGGAACAACGCGCTGCAACTGGTGAGAAAGTCTTGACTTTTACATTTTGTTTTTTCGAGGCTGGAAACATCAAGCAAAACTGCCTGATAGTTGTATGCAGAATTGCAAATCCTTTCGCCTTTGGTTCCTACACGGGAGTTCTTCTTTCTCAGGTACTGCAAGCAGCATTCCGAACGCGTGTGGGCGATTGTTGATGTCTCTATCGACGGCCTTCGGGATAATCCGGCCCCGCAATTGCGGTGCAGGATGCGTCCTTCTGGTTTCTTCATCGAAGACTTGCAAAATGGATACTCAAAGGTTCGTCTTGCTATTCTCGAGCCTGTACAGTTTCATTCGTATGGTCTTCCTGTAGGTGACGGCAGTGCAACACATAGAAGCCGATCACCGCCAAACTGAAAACATATATCATGGGCTGATGTGCAGTGGTGCGGCCTTCGGCGCAAAGAGATGGCTCGCCATCTTGCAGCGTCAGTGCGAGAGGCTGGGAATCATGCTAACCAACAACATATCAGCTAGAGATCTGGGTGGTATGTTTGAATGCATTTGTCCTGCCACCTAAAGCTTTAAAGTGTTGCTTTTCCTTTTTCTTTCTTTTGGTTGCAGTCATTCCAAATGCAAATGGTCGGCGGAGCATGCTGTTCCTCGCCCAGCGCATGACGAGTAACTACTGCGCGGGTGTTAGTGCCTCGATTGTACACACATGGACCACGCTCTCTGGCGCCGGCGAAGAGGACATCCGCGTAATGACTCGTAAGAGCGTCAACAATCCAGGTGAACCTCCCGGCATTGTTCTCAGCGCTGCGACGTCCCTGTGGGTGCCGGTAAACTCGCAGCGCCTGTTCGAGTTCCTCCGGGACGAGAGGCTGCGAAGCGAGGTAAGCCCAGCTTCTTGTCCCTCATTACAAATGACATTTACGTTTCTAGTGGGATATCCTTTCAAACGGTGGTGCAGTCCAGGAGATAGCACGAGTTGCAACCGGCCAAGACCCCGGCTGCGTCGTCTCGCTCCTCCGCGTTGGTGTAAGCACACACTTTAAAAGCAGCAGCTTTGGACGACTACTAACCTTTTTTTTTTGGCCTCCTTTTTACTACGGCAGGCATTGAATACGTCGCAGAGCAACATGCTCATCTTGCAGGAGAGCTGTACCGATGCATCCGGTTCGCTCATAGTTTACGCTCCCGTAGATATTCCGGCGATGAATCTGGTGATGCAAGGAGGGGATCCAGCCACCGTGGCGCTGTTACCGTCAGGATTTGCCATCTCACCGGATGGAGCAGTATCTCAACGTACAACGCAAGAGGGTGGCGGTGCTGGCGGTGGCGGTGGTGCTGATCTAGCAGAGGCAAGCTCTTCTTCTAGCAGCGGCGCTCTCCTCACGGTGGCTTTCCAGATACTAGTCAGCAACGTCCCCACCGCCAAGCTAAACTTGGAGTCCGTGGCCACTGTCAACAGCCTCATCTCCAGCACCGTGCAACGCATCAAGACCGCTCTCGGCTGCTGCTAAGTTTCAGTCTCGAGCATGGATTGGACAGAGAAAGAGCGACAGTGGTTTCGATATAGCTTTCGGATTGGACAGAGAAAGAGCTAGTACAGGCATTACAGGCATGGAGAAGATCGCAGCTTTCAAGACAAACAGAGGAGGAGAGAACTCACAGGGAGAGATAGCAAACATCACGGGAAAGAAAAAGGACAGAGTCAAGAGCGCACCACAGACGATCCTTCCTCGCCTCTGGCCAGAATATTTCCATCGAGAAACTTCCGTTTTTCCAGACCAGGCAAGGCTAATGGTTCGGGTATTGACTCTCCTTTTTCTGATCCATCGTTCCTTTTTTTTTCATTTTTTTTTTTCATTTTTATCTGAGATATTACGGACTCATCAGCACATTTTTTTTTTCTCTACTGTTCAACGATAGCTTTGCTGTCTCTTTTAGAATTTTTGTTCGTCCCGTGCCTTGTATTTCAAAGAGGACCATGTGGGATAGTGTCAACCACAATAAAACAGCGCAAAGAGCCAGGAAGAAACAAATTTGATACACAGTCATGTTTGTTCTGCCATCCCTTTCCTGTCTGTCTTCTGATCTTCCTCTTCTTCTTCCTTACAAAGCTCCAAAAGCTCGATCCAAGTAAATCGTCCCGTTTGTTCCTGCGTTTGAGGAGAACTTTAACCAAACTTTTACTACTCGAGAGAGATCAAACCAAATGAGCTTTGGTGCGCTGTAACTTCACAAAGTACCCCTACAAGAAGAATCCGATCCCATATATTTGGTTGTTCTTCTGCCCCCTCCAGTGAATACGGGGAATTAAATTTATCGGTTCTCCCATCCCTTTCCGAGTGGATCACTGGAACCTCCCTATTGAAAAGATTTGATCAGTCCTAGATAGAACTCGTCGTCTCGGGAATCTAATTTTTTTAAGCTCAAACGGGTACCTTTGTATATGATTTGTTCCTCTTTCTTTTTGTTCTTTAGCGTCCTCCTCCAGCAAATACCATATTAAAAATTGTTTCGACTGTGGCAATTCACAATCACTCTTTTTTTTCTTGTTGTGTTTTAAAAAAGAAAGTACCTTCGTCCGGAGGAAGGTTGGGCTGATCCGCCAAAACAGTTTGCATTGCAACAATATCATTTGCCTTTGTGTCGTAAGTCAGACTGGAAATAATATCGGCTTTGAGAGCATATCTGCAAAGTACTCGATTAGAACATTTCCTGAAGAAAAAAAAACAAGTATTTTGGCAACCCAGGCAAACTTGCCAAAAAAAAAAAACCGAAGAAAAATTGAAAATTGAGGAGCTTACTCGTCTCTGTGCATGGCGTACAAGTCTTTGAGTCCACTGACGCAATCTTCTAGACTGGGCCGGGAACCAAAACGCTGCTGGACCTGCTGCCTTGTAGGCTTGGGCTTCTCGTTCTTCAAAAGATTGGCCGCGTCTCGCCACAGCTTCTCAAAATCTTTGCAAACATCCTCCAGATCCAGCCTTGAATGACAAAAAACAGCAAAAATATCGATCGGACACACAGACAAGAGCAAATCACTTACAGTGTTTCACGCATGATGGACAAGATTTTCTCCAGCGACTCGGCTTGTTTCCCGACGAGGTCATCCCTCCCTTCCAATTCCTCAAAACAATCCCTGGACAGGAGAAGCTATGGAGAAAATCAACCCCCGAGAGAGAGGAAGAAATCTAAAACCATACCGGGAAACGCTGGATCACAGCCGCCGCATTGGAGAAGAGACCCAGCAACTTACCTTGCGAGGTATTCCATCGCGCCACACATTCGTTGGCTCTCTTGTATCGCTGCTCATATTTTTTCACGAGCCTCTCCATTAGGGCAAATGTAAACTAAACTAATATTAACATAGATAATAATTAATGAACTACATTAGATTTCTAGCACCTTAACAACTTCCACCATCGAAGGTCTTTGGCTTTGCTCCACTTTCGTGCACCACAATCCAATTTGGATCAACCTCTCTATTTTGCTTCTCTTGGTCCTATCCATGCCTTGATCTATCACCACCTCAAGCGTGCTTGATACATTTTTCCTGCTCATCCTCTCATCCACGGCACTGAGGCCTGTGATGATCTCCAAAACCACGATCCCAAAGCTGTAGACATCCAGTGCCTTTGTAACTTTCGTTTGTGTCAGCCACTCTGGAGCCATGTATCCTGGAGTTCCCTTGATCGCAGTCACCGCATTGTCTGTTCTACCATCGCCTCCGAGAATCCTGGACAGTCCAAAGTCAGAGATCTTTGCCGTGAAGCTCTCGTCCAGGAGTACGTTCTGAGGCTTGATGTCGAGGTGCAGCACTGTGCTGCTGCATTCTTCGTGAAGATATGCAAGGCCCCTGGCTATGTCCTGAACTATCGAAAACCTCCGGTTCCAATCCAAGCTCTTCGCTTTGCTGCTGTCGAAGAGCCACCTATCGAGCGAGCCATTGTGGACGTAGTCGTAAACCAGGAAGTGGTGTGGTTTTTGAGAGCAGTAGCCTCTCAGGGTGACCAAGTTTCTGTGATGGATGTTGCAAATGGCTCTCACCTCCGCCTTGAACTGCTTCTCGCCTTGGTTTGAATCGTCAAGGAGCTTGACAGCAATCCTGGATCCATCCGACAGAGATCCTTCGAAAACTGTGCCGAATCCTCCACTGCCAATCCTCTTGCTGAAGTTTCTCGTGGCCATTTCCAGCTCCCTCAAGTTGAAAGGACGTGGAGCTTGTGCAGCACCAGAGACTATAGCCTGCGAGCTCTGTCGACGGCTTTTGAAGTAGAAATCAACCTTGTTCTTCCAATAAGCAACCGCTGAGACGATGACTGTCACTGTGAGCGCAGCAATCCCTAGGACTGCCGTTATAAGAACTCCGGTTTTGCTATGGTTGGCGTTGCGTACTACCAACTTAGACGTCCCGGTTTTCACCTTGATAAATGCCGAGAACGCTGGAGCTCTTGTCACGTTGAGTGTGTAAACTTCCGTGAGATGAAAGCACGTCCTATTGTTGTCCTCGAAAAGAACTGCCTTGCACGAACTATTCGTCAAGCACGTCTCCAGGCAGTCCGCCTGTGACAAGATAGCTCCTTGCATGAACTTGAGCGGCAAGTAGTCGTAGAACTTATCCCCTGCCACCAACCTGTACTCCATAGCTAAGTCCCCTTCATGAGAAAGACGGCAACCAAGCGTGCCGTCCAAAGAATCCACTGGCTCCAAGTAAGTTTGCGTGCCTTTGTCAGACTTCAAGCCTATGCAATGGCACTCGCCTTCCCTGGTCATACTGTATCTTCCGCAGACCCCCGGATAAGAGAGATCCCAGCCAATCCAGCCATTGAAGAACTTGGTCAGATCGAGGATGTCCCAGTCGATGTCCGCAACCACTTCTCCAGTAGAGAAGAGCTGTATTCTCCTCACACTGTAGACTATGCTCAGTGCTACCGACTGAATAACTGTCATTTTCCTGTTGTAGACATTGAAGCTCGAAAAGTTGACGCCAACAAAACCAATCTCTTGGTCGAACTTCCACACTCCATAGCGCTGCAGAGGCGACTGAGCGGACAAGACCAATGCGTAAGGTTGTACTTCGAATGAAAAGTATCCTTCACCTGTTCCACCGGGACTACTGGAAACTAGTTTCATCCCCGTTTTTATCAGCTGGTGAGGTACAAGAGTATCCGTAGGATGATCAAAGCTTTGCCACACAACCTGGTCATCTTCCCTGTAAAGAACAAGGTTTCCAGTTTGATTCAGCCGCATGCCTGCCACACCAAGTCCAGACGTTTTAGTCGACCAGCTTTCGGTGCCGTCAGGATTATAGAGTACCAGGTTTCCATCGACTTGGAGCTTCAAACTTGCACCGAGAGGCACCGGCCTTCCGTTGTTTGCTTTCCACACTGCGCTGGTATGATTTTCACCGCCTGCTTTTACGTAATACACCGCCAAGTAGAAGAGACCTGTTTTGCTGCTAGTAAAACCCGCAGCGAAGGCACGCTTGGATAAATTCTGGCAGAGAAACGGATGGAGGTCCCCGTTGAGCGTCCAGTTGAAGTTCGAGTCAACAGCAATCTCAGGATTGCCTGGAAACCCGATGTCGAGGAGACATTTGCACGAGGGGCAGAAGCAGAGAAGTATGACAAGCAGAAGCTCGATGGGTGCGTCGAACATCCCTGTTAAAATCCCAGCGTCAGTGCCATGTATTGATTTAGTTGGCTCGAGTTTGTCGCTTACGAAGAGTTTCAGCCGGCGGGCTGCCCATGGCATAGCAACTGGGGTAAGGCAAGTGCCGGCTATATGCTTCACCAAGTGTTTAGACGCAGGCAACGCCAAATGCCTTCTCTAAAATTAAACAATATGAAAATCAGAAACCAGCTAGCAAGGAATATTTCTTTTTCTTTTCTCTTTCCTCTCTTTATTTCTGTTCTTTTTGTTTTTTGCAAAATCTATAAGGCATACCTGATAAATTATTCTGTAGCCGAGAACGAGACGATGTATCATCCCAGCCAGCCGGACTGGGCGTTTAAGGTTAATATATAGCAATATGACTGTCAGTACGTCGAAGCAGGCGAGAAAACTATGGAAAGTGAACAAAACTTTCAAGAAATACCAGATGTTCCATCGTCGTCAGAGATCCTCAAACTGAAACTGATTAGCATATTCGAAAAGAGTTTATTTGCCTTGTCTCGATTTCCTCCGAGACCAGCGAGCTTTGAGTTTGAGATTCTCAATCATCCTCCAGACCCAGTAAGTTCTTCCTTTGCACCAATTTGCTACTTTTTAAGTTCATCCTTGTAACAACCGAGGAGTTAAGAAAAAAGACCTGAAGCTTAAACCATCGAGCCCTAAGATTTTACCCAATTACTTTCGGAGGGAAATTCAATTCCAAGAACTCATGAGATTACACCGCTACAGCGCACACAAATTCTATCCCACAATGTACAGCTGCAGCTAAAGAAGTGTTCAAGCAAATCTATAAGGGTGGTGGATATATTCAGAATATATTTGCATTTTTAGGATATTCTACCATCTAATGGTTGTCATTCATTTAGATTAATTTTGCATTTATAATTTATAAATTTTCCTAAAAACTTTTTAGTATATTATTTTTATTTAACTATTTAAGGCTAATATAAATAGGTACTTCCACTCAATAAATAAAATAATCATAAGCAATAATAACATACTTATTGCTAGCAATTGATCATGGAAAAGGTCCCATAAGGTCAAATGCCACTAACTCAAACGGACGAAAAATTGTAATCAACTCTAACCATTCTTCTGTAGCACAAGGGGGAGTATTATGAGCTTCACACCAAACGCAGCTACGCAGCTACTGGATAACATCATGTTACATCTTTAGCCAATAGAAAGACCTGCGCAATGTCTTAGTCATATGATGATGTCCCATATGCTCGCCTAAAACAGGAGAATCATGATAGGCATGGAGAAACTATAGAATAAAGATGGAAGGCACCACCAGCCGCAAATGATCATCAGAATCCATCCCCACAAAATAAAAAAGGCTGTTTTCAAGATGATATTGAGAATGTAAATGCCGGAATGGCAAGTTATCAACAAGTGATGCAGGATTCTCAAACCCATCCTGAAGCCTTCAAATCCATGGTTCAATTTTTTGAGCCTTGTGAACCTCATCAAGAAAAAGGTAAATCTTGCTCTACATCTTGTGGACACTGAAGGTCAAGTACAACTACCACCAATGGCACAAAATCCTTGTCTAGAAATCCACAAATGTTGGAATAACATGCTTATCAAAAACATGAGAAGACAGTGAAGAAGAAAGAGGAGCTCGAGAAAGGGCATCAGCATCAACTATAAAACTTTAAGAGCGATGAAAAACATTAAAATCATATATCTAAAGTTTCAAAGCCCACCAAGTAGTATGACTAATCAAGTTTTTTCATTTCAATAATGAAGTAATGGCAGCATGATTTCCTTCTAGTAACATCCAAGAACCACGTAGATATACATGAAGTTTCTTGAAACCCCAAATTACTGCTAAACACTCCTTTATCATCAAATAGTTCACCTCTACTAATTGTAATATATGGTTGATGTATACAATAGGATGGCACTGACGAGGCATACTCGGGCTCTCTTGCATTAGCACACTTCCAAGACTAATATTAAAAGCATCTATGCACAAAATGAAAAGTCGAGTATAGTCAGGATATGCCAAAACCGGAGGAGTCGTCAATAGCTCTTTGAAATCTATGAACTCCCACTCACAGTCCATAGACTAAATGAAGGATTACATTAAGGGCTTTAGCAATGCTTGCAATAGTGCAATGTGATCAGAAAGATGATTCACAAAACAATCGAGATACTGCACTTTGCCCAAAAAGCACTGTACATTATTCACACACTTCAGAGTAGGAAACTCTAGAACAGCCATAAGTTTGTCATGATCAACTTGCAAACCTTCACGAAAAATATGGTATCTAACATAAGTTGTGTCCTTGGATCCAAATACGTATTTTGACCACTTTAACTTTAAACTAATGTTCTGTAATTAATCCAATACCTTACAAAAATCACAAATATGTTCTTCCCACGTCCCCTCCGAACAGATCAAGACATTATCAATGAAGTCAGTGTAAGCAACCAAAGAGAACGACTCGAGAGACGGTCCATGGGGTTCAAATATAGAGGGAAAGGGCCTATGAATAAGAGTGCACTTCTTTTTCCAATCGGTTAAGGGTTTTGGGATATTTGGGGTTAAACGTCCTTGGGTGTGAATAGTACTGGGTTGGGTGACCTCCCGGGAAGTCCAAACTCAGGAGCTTACAGTCAGCAGTCACCTCTAGTATATTACAAAAAACCTTGTCTATCATCCACTAAAAAGTCATTGGAGCATTGGTCATACCAAACAGCATCACCAAAAATTCATACAAACCAAATGGTATATGAAAAACAGTCTTAAGAATATTTTCTTTGGCCATAAATACTTGTTAGTACCCAGAAGCAAGATCTAGCTTAGTTAACCAATGACTTCTCCCCAGATGATCCAAGAGATTAACAGTGTGAGGAAGAGGGTACACATCATGGATTGTCACTTCATTTAACAGACGATAGTTGATGTAGAAACAAATACTCTCACTAAACTTTGTCACAAGATGAGGTTCACATGCTCAAGGACTTTGCGACTTTTAAATAACACCCTTTTTTAACTGTAAGCTCCTGAGTTTGGACTTCCTGGGAGGTCACCCAGCACAGTACTATTCAAACCCAAAAACATTTAACCCCAAATATCCTAAGACCCTTAACCAATTGGAAAAAAAAAGTGCACTTTTGTTCATAAGCCCTTTCCTTCTATATTTGAACCCTTATAGATCGCCTTTCGAGTTGTTCTCTTTGGTTGCTTACAATTCACCACGCTTCCCTGCAAGTTCACACTCTTGTGAATGGAAGCTGAGAGCTGCAGCTCTCCTGAAAGCCCCGCTCTCTTGACACCCTACCCCTCGGGTCGAGCCTAGTGGGAGCAAACTAGACCAGCCAAATGTCAATCAACATGTGGTGTGATTCCCCTAGCCAACCAACAGAGTCGGACCCGAGACCCCTTTAATACCAAATGTAAGCTCCTGAGCTTGGACTTCCTAGGAGGTCACCCAGCTCAGTACTATTCAAACCCAAAAACACTTAACCCTAAATATCCTAAGACCCTTAACCGATTGGAAAAGAAGGTGCACTCTTGTTCATGGGCCCTTTCCCTCTATATTTGAACCCTTATGGATCGCGTCTCAAATCGTTCTCTTTGCTTGCTTACACTAACATCTCTTTGACATTTACATGTAAAATCTTGATCTCTTTGGGTGATCAATGACGAACAGGAACCATGATTAAACAAGCATCTCTTGTTAGAATTAGATGACATATGGCAATTTTGGCCCCAGATGATAAGTCAAATTCAAAAAGATCAGCATACTCTTTCATGAGCTGGTCAACTGCTACAACATAAAAGCCATCGAAAGGATCGGAAAAGGGAAGAGCAAAACAAGATGGAAACATAGGAGGAAGTAATAGGGAAACAAAAGTAATAAAAGCAAAGGTAAAAACAAAAGGGCAAAAAAGTATGAAAGTAAGAGGAATGGATGAAATATAAGGAGTATGAGATAAGGGGGAGAAGCCTCAAAGTTACACTTAGCATTATTGCTACAACTAATTTATACCAAGGATGAGGTCAAAAGCTTAATTTAGTATCACCCACAATGAGTACAATTCAAGCTTGAGATTGCCCACACGCACAACTAGGTCTACCTCATCCCGTGCATATGCATGTAATGAAAACTAACTCCACCTCATGACACGAATAGAAGATAAACTTGAACTTGTAACAACCAATATGGAGAGAATAATAAAAGATCTCTTATTATAAAAATGAGTTTGGAAAGTAAACATTGGATGAACTGGTGCTGAATGAACCACTTGATGATACTCTTGAAATAAAGATGGAAGGGTCATTGACTTATTTGTGCAAGATCCCTCCATTACTTGTGCGACTCTTCGTTTCCCAAATGCATCTCGGTGTCCAAACTTTCCATACAACAACACCAATAGAATGTTGTTGATACCAAGATCTCCACGCAGAAAATAAAGGCCATCAATTCGGAAAATGCCAACATTGCCGATAGGTGTGACCAACTTCATCATATGTCCAATAGTGAACATCATGGCCATGACCATATCCTCGCCTTTGTCCTTGAACTCGAGCAATAGCAGCATCAACTTCCATTGGAACAAGACCATCTCCCACAAAAAGTGGAGCTGAAAGACGTGTAACGAAAAGTGGAAGAAGAGATATCTCATAATGTTGTGCCAAGAGAAGGGCATTGTCAAAGTGGTTGAAGCATGTGCATACACAAGTTCTACAACATTTTGACGAAGTGCTGGCCAAAACATTCTCAATTTGATCCGTTCTTACATATTTGGCTCCGCATGAAGCAAGAGGCTTCAAAAACAAATGCCAAATTGCATTATTGACTCTGATAGCCCTTGACGAAGATGATGCAATTGTTGTAAGGCATTATTATAATCGTCAATATGTTCGAATACGCATTTGAAGACATCCGGGAGAAGACTTTAATGCCTATGAATAACTACACTCAAACTATTGTACAATTGCAATGCCGTCCCTTGGAAATACGTGGGAAACTCATATAAACATCGAGTATTATCCCAAAAATGATATGTAATAATTACTGTAAAGTGATTGAATAAATAGTACACATCATCCCCAGGATTCTCATGAAAGAACTCCAACCGAATGCAAAGATTGGCATCAAAAGCAGAAGGAATACTACTATCAATTGAGTTTGGTTGTTCAATTGCAAGCACATAGCATCAAGCAATTGTACCAACTACTACTTCAAAGTCAAAGGAGGAGGAAATTGTTACTCTGCCATGAAGATGAATGAAAAGGAAAGAGCAAAAGAAAAAAATTAAAAAAGTTAAATAGAAAAGGAGATTCAAACAATGCAAAA